ATCTTGATTCTCATGAGAGTTACTAGAGAATAGCCCAATTCTCATAGTCGCGGCCTCACGACGTCTCTCACTTAGGTGAGTTCTCCAAGAGTACATGTGACCTGCACCCTGCGGGAGTTTGCCCGCCTCGAAACTCATTCAGGGATAAATCCCTTCCTGACGTCACATAAAATAGCACTTTTGCCTTAGGGATGAGCAGAAGAATATCTCAAGGATATCTCCATAGTTTTATGAGTGCTATATGAGTCACGCAATATGGATTGTTTCTACCACATTGAACTTCCTTCATGGGATCTCCAATCACAGAAGTTGGGTTACCTCCCTAGGTGACTCCCTTATGGGCTTAAGCACATCCCCCTCGACATTTTGCATTAATAGCCTCCTCCACGAGGCATGCATATCAAGACTAGCCTTCACAAGGCATATATAATGTAGGTCATATCTTTATTCTTCGTTTTAGCGCGCTCTAAACCTGCATGTTATTGGAAATATTTCCTACACAATCTTGCACACAAATGATTAGTGGATTTCACCTCAGTATAATCGGAAATTAGATACGGATTGGTATACATTTAAGTATAACAAAAAACATCATACATTAAATCTTATGATCAAGAGTACCTCTCAAGTCCATGAAACTTTGAGTACACCTGCTACCACTTATGAACAACAATATAACTTTAGTTTTAAAGAGGTAATTAAAACCACTCAAAATCTATATAAATAAAAAAATTGATATTAATTTTGTATTTGAAATACCCACAAAAATTACAACAAATACCTACATAGTTAAGGAAAACTCAACCCCCACAAATTTAAGGGAATTTGCAAAATATATGAAGATTATACTAAATTTATATTTAATTTTAAATTCATAAGATATGCCAAAATACTTTAGAGGATTTACGGGTTGAAAACCTTACACCAAAATTCAAAATTAAATGCCGCTTACAGTGATATAATTTATCATTTATGTCAGTTTTCTCCAGAAGGTTTCACAAAGTACACTTCCTGGCAATTAACTCAATGTGGCAGCTATCAAGACTTCACACTCAAAAAAACATTAGTTCACTTAATATATTTTATCAAGATTAACTCAAGTAACTAATATGAAGGATTGCACAATTGAAACATATAGGCGTTGGCAACTTTAAAATGAATCCAAGACGTTTAAACTAAATGTAATTAATTGCATAAATGTTCAGAACATTAAAGGCAATAATCACCTAACAATATCAACAACTTAACTGCCAAAAATAAGGCTCTTAGATTTTATATTCAAACAATTAATACCAAAACTGACGCAATTGAATACAAAAGAACTAATATAACAATTAAGAAAGAAAAGAATTTAGGAAAAATTTAATTATGCATGCACGCCTTTTCAATTCGACAAAATAAAGAAGGCACATGCTAATTCATACTCACTGAAATATTGTATAATTATACGTTTACAAAAGTAATGGAGAAGCACCATTAAAATCCATTAATTCCTTCACCAGAAACAATTAGATTTTGTTGAATGAAGAATTTCCTTGGAATATTACACGGTTGGGAGA